AGGCAGACGAGAAGGAGAAGGCCTGGGAAACGTTCAAGAACGAGATTGTGCGTCTGGCTCACACTCTGAGAATCAAGGGTTGGAGAAGAGTTCCCCTGGACAGTGGCAACAACGTTATCGTGCAACGTCTCAGCGGAGCCTTGACCAACGCCGTCTACGTTGTCTCTCCCCCCGAGAACCTCGAGGAAGTCCCCGGCAAGAAGCCCCCACCAAAGCTCCTCCTGCGCATCTACGGACTCGAAGCCCTCATCGACCGCGAGAACGAACTCAGCGTACTCCGGCGACTGGCACGAAAGAAGATTGGCCCGAGACTCCTCGGGTGCTTCACCAACGGCCGCTTCGAGGAATACTTCAACTCCATCACCCTCACCCCCAACGACCTGCGCGATCCCGATACCTCGAAGCAGATTGCTAAGCGCATGCGGGAGCTCCACTTTGGTATCGACGTCTTGGAAAGGGAAAAGGATGAGGGTCCCGCGGTGCTCAAGAACTGGGATGCCTGGCTCGGCAACGTCGAGAAGAAGATTTGCGCTCTCGACGAGGGCGTGCGCAATGGCAACTGCGTCTTCCGCGACCGCGGTTACGTGTGCGGCGTGGAGTGGAAGCAGTTCAAGGAACTTTACGATAAGTATCGCGAGTTGGCTCTCAGCGCCTACAAGGGTCATGCCATCCGCGAGCGTCTCGTCTTTGCCCATAACGACGTGAGTGCACCTACCCCTATCTTATCCCCCCTAATCCCATATTCAGTCACCAACTAATCCGCTTATGCAGACCCAATACGGCAACATCCTCCGCATGCGCCCCGAAGACGAGAAATCCCCCCTCCTAAAGCCGGCAAACGAGCACAAGCAGCTCGTCGTAATCGACTTCGAATACGCCGCCGCCAACGTCCCGGGCCTCGAGTTCGCAAACCACTTCACAGAATGGTCCTACAACTACCACCACGAATCCCTCCCCTTCGTCTGCAACACGGCAGTCTACCCAACCATCCAGGAACAGCGCCGCTTCCTCAAAGCCTACGTCGAGCACCGCCCCCAATACACCCACGGCGGCGCCTCCACGCCCCGCCTCACCCCCGCCGGCGCCGCAGACGGCAGCAGCGCCGTCGGCACGCCCGCCCTCCTCCCAACCTCCTCCTCCTCCTCCATCGTCGAGTTCATGCTCGACGCCCGCGTGCCGCCCAACCACTGGAAAGAAGAAGAGCGCCGCGCAGAGGAGGCCGTCGAGGCCGAAATCAAAGAACTCTACGAGGAAACCCGCCTCTGGCGCGGCATCAACAGCGCGCAGTGGGTCGCGTGGGGCGTCGTCCAGGCTAAAGTCCCCGGGTTCGAGTCCCAGGAGGAAATCGAGCAGCAGGAGAAGCAGGCGCAGAACGAGGCCGCCGCCGCGGCGGGCGACGCGGACGCCAAAGCCGAGGTGCAGGCTGCTGCGGAGGCCGAGGCCGAGGAAGACGAGGGCGACGAGTACGATTACCTGGGCTACGCGCAGGAGCGAGCATTCTTCTTCTTGGGCGATTGTGTGCTCATGGGGATCGTGAAGAAGGAGGAGTTGCCCGAGGACGTGCAGGCCCGGCTCAAGATTGTGGATTACTGAAAGTAGCAGCAACCTAGCATTTTGGCTGAGACTGGCTACTTTTTTTCGTGCCTTTCTTTTGCGCATACACCGTTCACAATATACCAGATTTCAAAGGCAAAATTCAAAAGCACACAGCTTCGTTTGACTGTAGTGGGCGTTGTTGTATTTTGTTGAGACCAGTCATTGAGAAGTTGCTTGCACGTATTACGTGGCAGCTACTCTATGATAGCCTTGCTCCTTCCGTCTCTACTTCCTCACTGTTGCAAGCACCACAAGCAGTATATCTGTTGCCCGTTACCCATTGCCACTCCAAAACGGGCACCTCAACCCATCTTGTTATACCGCTCTCTAGCCCGATCCTGCACCGTATTAACATACTCGGCATAACTATTCGTCGTTTTGCGCTGCGCGAGCTCCGCCGCGTCGCCCAGATTCCCGCCCTCGGCGCCGAGGCCGACGCCCTCTTGGTAAGCGTGCGTGGCAATCACCTCGGTGCGGCCGTCGCCGTTGGCACCGAGGCCCTGTCCCGTGCTCCAGCCCATCTTGGCCAGCATCCCTGCGCCCTTGGATTTCGGAGGCGCCGGCGGAGGTGTCTTTTCCTTGGATGCCGTCGCCGCAGGAGGGTTGGCTACCTTGTCGTCTTTACGCGCTGGTTTATTACCACCTTGGACGGGAACCTTGGGTTTCGCGGGTTGGTTAAATACCTCTCTTCGCTCCTTGGCGCGGTCGCGGTACTGCGGTGCTGATTCCTCGTCCGCCGCTGGTGCCGCCGGCTGCTCCTCTGCTTGTCTCGCCATCCTCTTGTCGCGGGCAGCTAGTCGCGGCTTGGCTGCCTTCACCTTCTCATCGTCTGCGGTAGCGTTCTTGTGATTTCTTGACTTTTCGTGCGTATTGAGATCATCCAAAGACTTGTACTTCATCATGCAGATCAAGCAGCAGATCTTTTCGCGGTCCACGTATGATACTGATGCTTCCGGCGTAGATGTCTTGTCTGGAGCCGTAGTTCCCGTCTGAGGCGCGGGTGTCTGAGAGGCCTCAATAGTAGGGGCCCCATTCGGCGACGCTGTCGGAGCAGGGGCTTTCGAAAGGCTCGCCCCAGTCAAAGAAATCTTGATAGGACCGGTAGAAATTGCGTTCGCGCCAGACAAAGAGATCTTTACTGGGGCGCGCTCTTCAGACTGACCATTTTCACCAACAGCATCGGCGGCTCGCCTGCCCTCGTGAATTTCGACGTGCCGTTTTTGCCAAAACGCCATTTGTCCAGCCATTGGCACCGACTTCTTGGTGGAAGAGGCAGGCGGGTTTCCGTCCGCCTTGCGTTTCTTGCCCTTCTTCGCCTCGTCGGCAGCATCCCCTTTGCTTCCGTCTCCAGAGGTGCCGCCAGGGGGTACCTCGGTGATTACTCTCTGGCTGGGATACACATGGGGCTCCCAATACTTGACCCGAATAGCCGGGTTGAAGAGTGGACTGAACGAGACACGCTCGTTAAATCGCGTCACCTCCCTGAGTTCTGGCACGAAGACACCCAGATGAATGGTCGAAACTGTCACAGGCTTCGAGGCAATGGTGAATTCGCGCATCATTCGAAACTTCTTCATGGCCGCCATCGCATCTTCCACGGTCCAGAACTCGGCGAATCCAAAGTTGAATGACTCGTTCGTCTCTTGATCACGCATCAAGAATGTGCGGTGGAGAGAGCCCGGCCTTGCGCCGTAGCCAGATGCATCGCCGGTCGGGGCAGTGGACTTGAGCTTTGGCCCGTCGCCAGCGTTCCTTGCTGCTGCTTGCTTTCGCACGAGCTCTAGTTTTCCAGCTCCCGCCGAGAACACATCCTCGTTGACGGATGGCGCCAAAGGGAAGAAAACCAAAATCTGAGAAGGTGTATCAGATGCATCGCTCTCGCCAGTCAATAGGAATCGGTATTGGGACGGATCTAGCTGAGTCAGTACGGGTCTCGCACTTCCGCAAGAAGGATCGTTGAATGTGCATACCTGTGGGCGGACCGCCGCAATTCTTGCAACGGCTCCTGGTCGCATAGTTTGAAAAGTCACAGGTCGGACAGCTCCAATTGGCGGCAGTTCCAGCGCGACTTTCCCGCTCGGCGTCATCGCGGTTTCTTGCGTAGTGGATGTAAATCAAGGTCATGCCATCCGTGCTATCATCAACCTCCCCGCTGAAGAAGTTGATAACAAGCTTAGGGTAGTTTCCTTTAACAAACTCGACCGCCTGCTCGACATTCTCAAACTGCGCGAAAGCGCGACGCTTGCCTGACGCAGGTGTAAGCAGGGGCGGATGAGAGGGTTGGGGGTAGGTGGCTTACCTCTCCCAGTTGAGGGGATGCGAAGATCGACAGATGGATATTGTGATAGGTCGGACTGTTTAAAGAGACAGTCCCGTACCGTCTCGAGAGATACATCGGATGGTAAGCCTTCTAGAATCACAGTATCACTCGGAGTACCAGCTTGTCGAAGAGGCGATGCAGAACGATCGCGACGAGGATGGCGATCTGGGCTGCCACCTGGAGAGGCGGAAAAATGACGAAGATCCTCGTCAGGACCACATCGGGCATCATCGCGGCGAGTGCCATCGTCGTAGTAAGGGCGAGAGTAGCCCCGGCCACCTCGATCGTAACGACGTGATCCGCGGTCGTCGCCGTCATGTGGGTGAAGTAGCGCAGCGTCTTCATCACGGCGATCCATATAGTCATCCCGACCACCGCCTTGATCTCCCGATCGAGGACGTGACTCGTGGGCCTCACGCGGCGGTCCATGGTAGTAACGGTCGTAGTCTCTTGCGCGGTATTCTGCAGTCTCACGATCCCAATTCCGGTCCCGATCCCAGTCGCGCTCGCGACGGCGGGTATCCTCCGGGGCGTAGCTGTCGTCGTCGTAGGACAGCTCGAGATTATTCCTGGGGGGAGACCTAGAAGAGTCTCGTCGTCCCGTGGGCAAGTTAGCAGAAGCTCAAACCAGCCAGATGTACTGCAGATGGTCATGTCCTCCGCAGGCTCAGCTTAGTCTCTTTACCCTGCCGCGTTCGAAAGCCGTCGTTGTCTGAATACTGTTGTTGATCTCGTAGAGGGGATCTTCGTCGCTCGTACGGTCCCCTCTCGCGCGCGCGATGGTTGTCCTCGTACATGATCGCGGGTCGCAGGAAGGGATGTGTCCGATCTTTATGCGCGCTGGTTCGGGCGTGAACTGGGTCGAGTTTTGCTTGGTCCGGAAAGAAGAAGAAGAGGGAAGGAAAGAGTAAGGCGCGGTGCTGTCCCCTCGTGAGGCGTACGACAAGACCGTGCCTTTATGCTTCAACCAGGTATTGGTGGAACGACAAAGGGCGACGGGCCTTAGCAATGGGCTTGGGCGAGGTCGGGAATGAAGAAGGGATGGTTCACACAACGCTGGGGTCGGCAGAAGCTCGCCCCCCCTGGCAACTTCCATTCGTAGTCAACTTCCATTGCGGCTGCCTTTCAAGGGATTTCGCCTTATCTTTTGCTTAGTCAAGCGGGGTCGTCGATAAGGTTGGCATGGACCTGGTCCGCGCTCCTCCATCCTTGTTTGTACCTTGTATCTAGGTACCCATCAACCTCGTCCTCCCCATGTTCATCATTGTCATCTTTTGAGGTAATTTCAACCCAAACTTATTGAATAATCGGCATGTCGCTGGCAACCGAGAGAGAATTATTGATCACTTCATGTGTATTGCATTAGATATCCAACAAAGAGTTGAGCTGCGTTGACCAAAACACTTCAATTTCAAAAAGCCCATCGTCACCTGGGATACTTACACGGCCGCAATCCCACCATCTCTTTCTGCCATCAAACCCGGCTCAAAGAACCAGAGATATCTTTCTTCTTTCATTGCTCGCATATCTCATAGCCATGGAGAATCAAGATCAAGGGCCGTGGGACGTCTCCGAGGACTCCTGCCACGTTGCCCTCACCTACCATCTCCTCGACGCTTCAGCCATCATGAACCGAGTCCGCTCACCACAAGCTGGCGCCATCGTCCTCTTCTCCGGCACAACACGCGACACCTTCGGCGACAAGCCCGTCAAAGAGCTGCAGTACAGCGCCTACACGCCGCTCGCCCTCCGTACCATGATGTCCATCGCCAAGGCCATCGTCGAGAAGCACGGCTTGAAGGGCTTCGCCATGATCCACCGCTTGGGAACAGTCCCCATCGGCGAAGAGAGCATCTTGATTGCGGTATCATCACCGCATAGACAGGCAGCTTGGAGAGCTGGTGAGGAAGCTTTGGAGGAGTGCAAGGCCAAGGTCGAGGTATGGAAGCGTGAGGAGTTCCACGGCGAAGAGGGCGTATGGAGGGCGAATCGAGATGGTATTGCTGGGCAGAAAGAGACTGTTGGGGATCAAAGCCATCCAGAAAGCTCTAGTCCAACCCAAACATGAATTTTCAAATATTCAAAGACGATTTTCTTAAGAATGGGCATCACCTCTGTGAAAGTTGCAGGCTGCTTCCGTCCGTATTAGGGGGTTTGTCATCACACGGAATGAGCTGCTCGCAAATCCAGACGTGATATCCTTTTCTACCAGTAGGTAAGTTGACTAATAAGCTATGTCACTTGGCCAAGCATGATGCGTGCCGATTGGAGACTATAGCCTCAAGGGCATTAAAGGTGCTCACCTAGGTCATGGACAGGGAAAGATTTTCACGGTGCCCTGGACTCGTTGAAGTCTCACAGTATCGATTAAATATTTTGGACATTTCGACACTTTTGATATTCATGATAAATTGGGCATTTAATTTGCCTATATCTCGGTATCCAAGCGGGCCAAGTCCTCTATGCATCTAACTTTAGATGATCCAGCATTGTATCGATCTTTCCAAGCAAGATCTGGTAATTGATCGCATCTGAGGCGAATTCGTCTTCGGCCACCTCGCCACCAAGAGTCTTGACTCCCTCTCCGTCTTCGCCATTCTGAACGGTCTCAAAAGCAGTGACGGGAGCGATCTCCTGGGAGACAGCGCCAATTTCACCCATCTCCTCATTCAGCTGTTCACTCTGTGCAGCAATGGCTTCTGCCAATTCGGCGTTGATCTCCCCCTCTTCGTCCATCATCTCTTCAAGATTGGCGTCCTCGAAACGCAGACGGAAGCGCTCGCCCAGATAATACCGGATATCGTCCAACAGCTCGATAGTATCCGTCTCTTCACGGTTCTTGAGTCTTTCTGCACTTTCCTTGATCAGCTCCGCAAACTCGGCCTCGTCAATGTAGTCCTCTAAACGGTTGGCCAGGTACCGAGCAGCAAACTCTTCCAGGCGCTGAACGCGCAGGTCCCACGCCGCGTGGATCACGTCGTAGATGTTGATGGGCTCCATATCCTCTTCCCGGTTATCCTCTCCGTCGGGTCTGTGGGTGCGGTCAGCCCAGATGTTGCTGCTGCCGCTTCCGAGGGTACTGATGGCCTGCGCTGCTTTCGTCTTGAGCTTGTCGAGGAAGAGAATGTCGGCAGTGTAGAGCAAATCTAACGCGAGATCCAGAGGACAGTCCACCTTCTCAGTGTACAAGAACGTAAGCACGATTTCGAGGACCTCGGGCATACAGTCGACTGTGACCACGTGCAGGTTTTCCGAGTCCTGCGCCTCCCTGAATTCGCTGGAGAACATGGTCTCAAAGTACGGGCTGCGGATTAGCATCGCTTTATGAACGGGATAGACCACCGACTTTCGAGGCCGTTTCCTGGGTTTATCGCCGTTTGATGCAAGGCCGAGCGGGATGCCGACAGCATGTACAACATTGTCAGGATCCTCCGCATCATTCTCAATCTCGTCGCTCTCCGGTTCGTGCGCGCAAAGGAGGCAATCGGCAAAGATTGAGTTGTCATGGCGCCATTTCACCTCGCCAAACCTCTTCGTCTCTACGGTCATCTTGTGGCCGAGGACCTTTTCCCGGTAGAAGCGATCAACTTGGGCCTGGGCGCGCTTCACCTCGTCCTCGTACCTCTGGCGCGAAAGACGTCGGTCATTGCCCGCCAGGATTGCCTCCCATAGTTGCTCGATCTCGAGCTGTTTGCTGAGCTTATCAACACCAGTGAGAACCTCTTCCTCCGTCACGGTACTGCGAGCATTGACCACATCCTTAGGTACTTCTCCTAGATACAGATAGCGTAGGGCGACTTGGAAAGACTCGAGCGGGTAGGTGGTCGGAAGCTTCCATGTTGCGGTATCGGGTGCGCCATCGAGCTTCTTCCTGAAGTACGGCGTCCGTGCTGCCAGTAGAAACTTGTGCATGTTGAAGGACTGCGATGCTGCAATGAGGCTGATGTCGGTTGTCTTTGGAACGTTCTTGGAGAGTAGACTGGTAATGTGTCCGGCCCAAGGTTGGAGGGGGTCTGTAGACTTTGAATAATCATACTCTAATAGGAGGTTTCGTATCCTATCGTTGAGGGCATTGTAAATGCACCGTTCGCCCTGAAACGTGTTCCTTTCGGCCAAGGCACCTTTCACATTGGTCAGTCAATAAGTCTTACTGTACATCGATGTATAACCCACCGGACTCCAGAAGTAATTGTACGAGTTCTAGATGCCCACATAAACTAGCCTTGATACTACTTGTCAGTAGGGCCTCAGTCAAAAGTACGGGGGCCGCGCACTCACAACAATCAACGGTGTGTAATCAAAACGATCTTTGCCATTGATATTTACGCCAGCCGAGATCAGCTCCTGACACGTCTTCAGGTCGCCTCTTCTGCAAGCTAGCAAGAAAGCCTCGAACTCGGTCGTCTGATCCAAGGGATTGTCTTCTCTTAGCACGCCGTTTGCGATCAACTCATGCTCCTCTTTGAGCTGTACTTCTAATTCATCTTTTCGGAGAACCATAGTGACGAACTCAACGAACAGGACAGAATCTCTATAGCCTGGAAATCTAAGCAAAGAATGATATGGAGGAAACGCATCAAATAAGTGAGAAGGTCAAGTTCGCCTCCACATCTGGGACATTGAAGATCTTAGTGAGAATGAAGTCCGATAACTCCATGAGGTCGCCTCTGCACGGGCCACTTTGGACCTTCCTTACGTGATGGCTTCCAGGACATCATCGGTGCCCCACCATTGAACCCCTCCAGAGCTAAAGTGCTGACTTATCGATAAGATATAAGCGAGATTGACCCATTCTGACAGATGGAGCTGGATTATCTCAGCTCCGCCACTAGCGTCGTTGCCATGGCATCGGCCCCCAGTTGTTTACCCGAGCTCGATCTTGTTAGTCCCATGCAACCAAGTTCACAGCTTTGACTTGCAGTGCACCTTTCCCGGTCAACCACCACCAACAGCTCGGATACTAACATAGCAGGTTCGCGACCGTCGTCTTTCTTTGCCCCTCAACTTCTATGGATACATACAAAGATTCACTTTAATCAAATTCATTGCGCGTTGCATCCAAGATGTCTTTGGAGGCGGATAAGTATGAGGTGCTGGAGAAAATCGGTAGGCACCCCCATTCACGAGCTTTTCACGTTGCGACCCGACCAAAGGGCTCTTCACTAACCAAACCATCCAACAGGCCATGGTTCCTTTGGAATTATCCGAAAGGTTCGAAGAAAGGCCGACAACCTCGTCATGTGTCGGAAGGAAATCAGCTACCTCAAGATGTCGCAAAAGGAGCGCGAGCAGCTCCACGCCGAATTCCAGATCCTCTCAACCCTCCGCCATCAAAACATCGTCGGCTACTACCATCGCGAACACCTCAAGTCAACCCAAGACCTCCACCTCTACATGGAGTACTGTGGTAATGGTGATCTCGGTCGCGTCATCAGAGATCTGGCTGTCAAGGGCCAGCGTGCGCAAGAGTCATTCGTGTGGAGCATTTTCTCGCAGCTGGTTACTGCGCTCTACAGATGCCATTATGGCATTGACCCTCCCGAGGTTGGCAGCAATGTGCTGGGCCTCTTCAGCACAGCATCTAAGCCTAAGACGCCCCCGGGTACCATGACCATTCTGCATCGCGATCTCAAGCCGGAGAATGGTATGCTTCATCGGCCTATCAATCGACGTGACATATGCTAATTGTGAATAGTGTTCCTCGGAGAGGACAACTCCGTCAAGCTTGGTGACTTTGGCCTGTCCAAGATGATTCAGTCCCATGACTTCGCCTCCACCTACGTCGGCACACCATTTTACATGTCGCCCGAGATCTGCGCCGCCGAGAAGTACACGCTTAAGTCGGACATCTGGTCTCTAGGCTGCATCATCTACGAGCTCTGCACGCGCGAGCCCCCCTTCAACGCCAAGTCGCACTTCCAGCTTGTTCAGAAGATCAAGGAGGGCAAGGTCTCGCCTCTTCCCAGCTGTTATTCCAGCGAGCTCATGGGCACCATCAAGGACTGCTTGAGAGTCAACCCCGACCACCGCCCGGACACTGCACAACTCCTCAACCTCCCTGTTGTTCGATTGATGAGAAAGGAGCGAGAGGTTGTTGAGCTCAACAAGGTCGTCCAGAAGAAGGAGGATTCACTGGCTCGCCGCGAGAAGGAGTTGAACGAGAGAATAGCCGACTTCGAGGCTGACAAGGCTTCCGTCAGACAGGAGGTTGACAGCTCGCTGCGAAGAGAGTGGGAGGTCAAGGCGCGTCTCGAGATTGATCGGCAAATCAACTCAGAAATTGAGGCCCTCCGAAAGCGATTCGAGAGCGAGGTCCAGTCTCGTGTCGACGCCGAATTGCAGAAGAAGACGATTAGCTTGGCTGCCGAGCCCACGCACGCGCTCGACCTCGCAACATCGCAAACAAAGTCAGACTACCCGAGGTCTTCCGTTGGTAATGGCAGCGGAGACGACGAGCTCTCATCGTGTACCGATCTCACCGACATTTCTTCAGACAGCCCTTTCACGAGCAAGAAGGCTACTCGCACCCCCTATAGCAGGGCCCAAACTATGTTCGTCGGTGGTCAAGGCACCCCTATGGATATCGAGATGGCATCCCCCTCACCCATCGCCATTGCTTCACTTTCGTTGTCACCTAGACGACATGCCGGAACCCAGGTGCCCAAGCTTAACAGCGGAAACCTATTTTCTGGCAACGCCGCTTCTTCTGGCGACCCGATGTGGGACGTCCCTCGTGACACCATCAGCATCGACTCCGACGACGAGGACATCGTTCCCTCCCCAACTCGCAACATCAAGTCGAAGCACAACCCTTTCACGTCCAAGAACCGTCCGGTCTTGATGTCTCAAAAGACTGCTCCCATTACTCGAGTCAAGCCTCAAGGATCGGCAACTGGTTTGAACCAGAACAAGACGTTGCCCTCGCTGCCCAACATGGCCTCGAACCCCGACCTCAGCCGCGGTCTCCGCGAGCGCTGTCAGTCGCCTAACCGTCGATTGAGTAAGATTCCTTCGGCAGCGAACCTGTCGGCTGCAAACGGCAGTGAGTCTCCTGGCGGTCTTTCCCGCAAGAACTCTACCAAGAAGGATCAGGAACCCCTTG